TGTGTGTGTGTGTGTGTGTGTGTGTGTGTGTGTGTGTGTGTGTGTGTATGTGTGTGATTTGATTTCAGGGCAGATCCATACAGGGTAATACCCCACATCCTTGTGCAACTCAGAAACAATTGTGTCAGCTGTGCTGGGCACACGGGAAGTACAACAGAGCCGATTTGAATTTGGGTACCAGCCTGCCCCCCAATTGGCTGTGTGATCTTTAAAGCAAGTTACTCCAGTCCTCTCTGCCCCAGTCCCTCAACTGTAGACTGGGCACACGTCTCCGTGTTATTGTAAGGATTCAATGATACAGCGCAGGAGACATGGGAGGCTTGGCATCAAACACTTAACCAATAGGGACCCTTGTTATCATTGCTGTGGGTGTACTTGACCTGTCCCTGAAAACAGTAGTGACAAAGAATCAGGCTGTAAGGCCAACCCCCCCCCCACACACACACACACTTAGCCCCTCAGGACCCCCCCACACCCCCAATGTTGGGTGACCTTGGAAAGAAATACTCTATTTCTAACTCTAGTATTAGTTAGAGATACAGTTGACAGAACTTACCAAAAACCTCATCTACAGGTTCTCGAAGCTTTGAAGAAGCCATGACTCTCGAGAGCTGCAGGGGCCACAGGAAGAGAGAAAGAAAACATCCTGGATCAGCAGGGGCGCTGCCTGAGGCCATCTGACCTGGGTCAGCTGACCCCTCAGCTTCCCTAGAATTTTTCTTCTGATCCCTTAGAGGAGATGTCACCTGTGTCACATGCCTGATTGTGGGGTTTGGGGCAAGAAGGAAAAGCAGTATTGTGGTGGCATTCACTGGGGGGGGGGCGGGGGGGGGGGGGGGGGGGGGGGGGCAGATGCAAGCAGCCAACACAGCCGAGTCCTCTGGTATTGGCTCAAACTGATTTTCTGGGCACATTCAGAGGTTACAGCATGTCTCCATTTCGCAGTTGTGAGGCTTGTTGTCATTGTGGTTAGACGCTGTTGACACCGAGTGACCTCGCGTACAAAGAAACGCTGCCCGTCCTGCGGCACCTCTCAATGGTTGCTGTTGGAGTCCGCAATTGCAGCCTCTCTTATCAATCCATCTCTTGAGGGTCTTCCTCTTCTTGGCTGGCCCTCTACCAAGCACGGTGTCTTTCTAAAGGGACTAGTCCCTCCTGGTGACTTGTCCCAAGGACATGAGACACAGCCTCACCATCCTCCCGTCTAAGAAGCAGTCGGGCTGTATGTCTTCCATGAGATTTGTCCATGCTCCTGGCAGTTAAGGGGATGTTTAAGACGCTTTATCAGCACCGTAATTCAGAGACCTCGATTCTTCTTTAGTCTTCTTTATTTGCTGTTCAGTTTTTGCATGTATATTAGCACCCCTTAAAGGTTTTTAATGATCATAAACAGTACCTAAAATCTGGGAGGGATCTTGGAGATTATGAAATCCAGTCCTCTGATTTTACACTGAAGAAACAGACTCAAAGGGGGCAAAGGTGACTAGTTCTAGGCCGCATAGCAAGCTAATGACAAAATTAGGATGCGAACGCAGGCTCTTCTCTCCACCAACCTACTATCCATCCATCTGTGTGTTCACTAATTCATCTATTCATTCACACAACCACCATCCGGTTACCCATCATTCATCCATCTAACCATCCACCCACCCACCCATCCATATATTTAACCATCCATCCATCCACCCATCCCTCCACCCATCCATCCATCCATCCAACCATCCATCTATCCATGTAACCATTCATCCATGCATCCATCCATGCATGCATCCATCCATCCATCCATCCATCCACCCACCCATCTATCTAACCATCTATCTATCTATCTATCTATCTATCTATCTATCTATCTATCTATCTATCTATTCATCCATCTATCCATCCTATCACCTTTGTATCCATCAATCTATCCCATTGCTGTGGTTGTACTTGACATGTCCCCTAAGACAGTAGTGACAATCAGGCTGTGTGGCCATACCACATGCACATTCAACCCCCAAGTCCTTCCCCTAGCCCCATTGTTGGGTGGCCTTAAAAGGAAATACTCTATAACTGTGTCTATTAGCTAGAGATAGAGTCACACCGAATTTACCAAAAGCCTCATCCACAGATTCTAGAAGTTTTGAAGAAGCCATGACTTGAGAGTCCTGCTACCTCCCTGTCACTGCTGCCTTCACGATTCAGGAAGTTGGTCCCATCAGAGGCCCACTTTTCTAGACAAACTCACAAGTCTCACGGTTCTTGACAGAATCACAGATGAAGCCTCAGGACAGCTGAGGTGTACTCACAGCACAACAGTGACCCGCAGAGCTCTAGGGCGCATCAAGTCTGCTCCAGGGAGAAGTACGGACAGGTGGGGCTTTTAATATTTGTGGGCAGTAAGAAGAGCGGACAGGTAGGAAAGTCGAATACATGAAGCCAAATACATGCACTTTGGGCAGGCTTGCTAGCCGATGCAGGCTTCCAGGAGCCCTTCAAGTTTAAAGCTTGGGTGTCAGAGAGGCAGAGGAATGCTGGATGAGGGAGAGTGACGGTCTGGGGCTCTGGGCTAGACGGTTCATCTGACACGTGCCGAAGATCTGAAGACCAACCGCAGAGAGGCTGAAAGCAACACTCCTCTTCTGTTATTGCATAGACAGTATCTCACTTTGAGCTGGCCAGACTTGGGATTCTTAGCAACCACACTCACAGAGGAGGAAACTGAGATACAGGAGATGAGATGTCCAACTTCACTCGGACTCCATCTCCTGGCCCACAGACCTCTCCTGGGTGATGGTCTGCAGTGTGTTGGGGCGCTCTCGAGGAAATAGCACTGCTAGGGAAGGGGCATAAGGGGAGAGGGAGGAGAGATGAGCCACATGGGCCAAGACTGAGAGACACATCAAAACCACCTCCACTCCAGATGCCATGAAGCCTGGGGCTGCGCTCAGAAAATGATGCATGAACAAGGGTCGGGGCCACAAGGGCCAGGTCCTCTGGTGAATGTATGTGTGTAGACCCCAGGACACGTTCACCATTCTTGAGCCCTGGAGGAGCGGTAGAACAATTAGTAGCAAAGGTGTTCCAGAGCATCTTCCCTGTCCTGTGGGCCAAGCAGGATGGGAGGTGACCCCTAAAAATGAACCCAATCCTGCTATTCAGTCACAAAGCTTCACCCGGTTAGGATCTAGCTGCCACCTCCTCCAGGAAGCTGCCCTAGGTAGTCACTTCCCCGACCATTGGTCTACAAACTTTTTTCTCTTTTTCCTACAAACTTTAAAATTCACCCTCCCCAGCCACTGGCAAAGGAGGATTTTTTTGTATTTCCTGGTTCCCTACATGGGCCCCATCCTCCCCACGTCAAAGGGAGCTCACTGCAGAAAGGGACTGTGTGTTGCCATCAGACTAGGGCCACCCTGAGGATGGGAACCGCCGCTGCCTTCAGGATGGAGGGTCCTTGAAGGCAACACCACGCTTGCTCTGACTATCTGAGAATGGGGTAGGCTGCGGCTCCCGCTCACATTCCTTCCCAGCTCTTCCTGAGCCAGCACACACTGCTGCTTCTCCACCCGCAACTTCAGTGACAACCAAGCCCCTAGGGTGTTTTCAGGGAAACACCCTACACTGTCCCAAGGGGAAGGGAGCCCTAAAGAACAGGCTATCCAGGGGATCCTGGGTTCTCCTCTCCAACTCCTACTTCCACATGTAGAACTCCTTCTTACTTCTAGATGCACGTGCGTGTGCACACACATACAATCCTATACAGACACACACGCACCTATACACACAAGTCCTACATAAACACACATACACACCTATATAGACACACCCACCCATATACACACATACATGTGCCACTATACAGGCATGCGTGTAAACGTACACACCTACAGACACATACACACTCTAATACAGACATACATACATACACACACATACCCTACACAGACACACATACATACCAGCCCTGTCTAGGCACATACACCCCTCCAGACACACATACACCCTCTACAGACACATACACCCCTATACAGGCATACACCTATCCAGGCACATACACCCCTATATAAACACATACAACCACACATCTATACAGACACACTAACACATACTCCTGTATACACACACACAAATATCTATACACACACGAACAACCAGGTAACAGTCCAAGAGTGGAGATAAGCTGTCCCCTGGGGGGGGCTGCCCTCCTCTGTGGCTGCAGACTGGGCTTTGGGTGCTACCAGGCTACTCCCTGCCTCTACAGCTTCAGACTCCCTGAGAGGTGCATCAGTGACCTGTCTCTGGGAGGGAGGGAGGGAGGGAGGCCGGCCGGCTCAAGCTCCCCAGACCAAAAAGAAGGAGAAGGAGGAAGGAAGGAGCTGAGGTCCTGGGGGTGGGCTGGAGAGCGAGCGAGGAGGATGAACCGCCGGGAAGAACTGGCAAACAGAGAGCCTGGTCCTCAGGGCTGCCCTTAGGGCTGCGGGGGAAATGGGAGAAAGCGCGCAGGAGATCGGACAGTGGGGTCCAGAAAGCTGGGCGCCCCGGGTGAGGCCCAGTAGACTGCTGCAGGAGGGGGCGGACCCCCGAGCGGCAGGCAGAGGAAAGGTGCCCTAGAAGGAAGAAACAGACCTAAAGAGAGGCGAACTGGGGGAGCCGGGAAGGGATGGCCGTTTGAGGTGGGGGAGGCCAGCTGCACCTGGGTCAGGCAGTACCCCTCCCCATCAGGCCCAGTCTCCCACGGTCCTGGGCCCAGGGCGCCAAATGGGTCTCCACGCCGCCCCCAGAGCGCTGCTGGCGCCGGGGTGGGGAGGAGAGCCGGGCGCCCACTGCGCTCCCAGGGCCCCTACCCC